CCACCCACCCCATCCATCTCTTCATCCTCCATCCAACCCCCCCATCCACCTCCCATCCATCTTCCCATCCCCCATCCATCTCCCCACCCATCCATCCATCCCTTTGCCCCCCACCCACCAGCCCTTCTCTGCCCCATCCACCCCTCACCCTCCTGCCCCACCCACCCATCCACTCACCTGTCTGCTCATCCACCCATGTCTACTCATCTGTCCACTCATCCACCGCTCCTTCCACTCATGCGTGTAGTCATCCATTCTTCTGCCCTTCTGTCTGCTCAGCTCTGTGCTCACCCTTCCGCCTGTCTTTCCGTCCTGCCACCTCTGTCCATCTGCTTCTCCACTTATCAGTCCATCTGCCCGCCCCTCCATCCGTGTGCTCATCCATTTGTCCATTGCTATACTCATCCCTCCATCCATTTCTCACCCCATTCCTTCCCCCCTCTCTCCATCTTCCCCTCTCTTTCTCCCTCCCTCCCTCCCTCCCTCCCTCCCTCCGTCCCTCCGTCCCTCCTTCCATCTTTCACTTCCTCTCTCTATCCCTGCCTCCCTCCCTCCATCCTTCCCTCCTTTCCTCTTCACCCCTCCATCTCTCCCTCCCTCCCTTCCTTCATCCTTCCTTCCCTAAACCCTTTCCTCTCCCCATCACCTCCTCTTCTCCCTCTTCCCCTCTTTTCCCCCTTCTCTCCCCCTCTCTCCACCCCTCTCTCCATCCCTCCATTTCTCCCTTCCTCCATCCCCCCATCCACGCACTTATCTCCACATTCCCATCCCTGCCCCCATCCCTCTCCCTCCGCTGTCCCTGCAGAGGATGAGGTGCGGAGGGTGGACCTGGTGTCGGCCTCGGTGGTGGTGGTGGGCGTCATTGCCGCCGTGCTGCTCTGCGTCCTCGTCATTGTCGTCGTCGTCATGACCCTCTATCACAAGCGCAAGACCAAGCGCATCTCTGAGAAGTAGTAAGAGCCGGGCGTGGGGTGGGATGGGTGTGGATGGGACCCCATGGACTCCATGGTGGGACCCCAAGGTGTGACCCCATAGTGGAATCCCATGGACATGAAGGACCCCACGGTGGGACTCCATGGTGCAACCTCATGGACTCCATGGTGGAGCCCCAAAAACCCCATGGACCCTATGGTGGGATCCCACTGACCCCATGGAACCTACAGACTCCATGGACCCCGTGGTGGGATGCCATGGTGGGACCTCATAGACTCCATGGACCCTGTGGTGGCGCAACCCCATGATGGGTCTCCATGGTGGGACCCCATGGAACCCATAGACTCTGTGGACCCCATGGTGGAACCCCATGATGGGACCATATGATGGGACTACATGGACCCCATGGTGGAACCCCATGACCCCATCTACCCTATAGTGGGAACCCAGAGATCCCACAAACGCTATGGTGGGACCCCATGGACCCCAAGGACCCTGTAGACCCCATGGACCCCATGGTGGAACCCCATAGACCCCATCTACCCCATGGTGGGAACCCACGGACCCCAAGGACCCCATGGTGGGACCCCATGGACCCCATGGTGGAACTCCATAGACCCCATCTACACTATAGTGGGAACCCAGAGATCCCACAGATCCCATGGACCCCAAGGACCCTGTAGACCCCATGGACGCCATGGTGGAACCCAATAGACCCCATCTACCCCATGGCGGGAACCCACGGACCCCAAGGACCTCATGGTGGGACCCCATGGACTGCATGGTGGGACTCCATGGTGGGACTCCATGGACTGCATGGTGGGACCCCATGGTGGGACCATATGATGGGACCCCATGGACCCCAAGTACCCTGTAGACCTCATGGGCCCCATGGTGGAATCCTATAGACCCATCTACGCCATGGTGGGAACCCACAGATCCCAAGGACCCCATGGTGGGACCCCAAGGTGGGACCTCATAGGCACCATGGACCCCGTGGTGGAACCCCGTGGAACCCCTGGTTGGACCCCAAGGACCCCATAGACCCCATAGGTTCTGTGGATCCCATAAACCCTATGGATCCTATGGTAGGACCCCCACAGACCCCATGGAACCCATGGACCCCATGGTGGGACCCCTTGGACCCCAAAGACCCCATGGTGGGACCCCACGGACCCCGTGGTGGGCCCCCACTGAGGTGTGGCCCCACAGCGAGGAGGAGCTGACGCTCACACGGGAGAACTCCATCCGCCGTCTGCACTCCAGTCACAGCACCGACACGCGCACCCAGGTGGGTGATGGGTGAGGGGTGCTGGGGGTCTCCAGGGAGGAGGCAAGGGGATGGGGATTGGGATACTTACGGGGAACTGGATTTAGGGGTGCCGTGAGGATGGGAATTGGAGTGCCCAAGGAGATGGGGATTGGGGTATCCATCAGGTACTGAGCATTGGGGTGCCAGGGGATGGGGATTGGGGTGCCATGGAGCTGGATATTAGGGTGCTTTTGGGATGGGAATTGGAGTCCATGGGGAGGGGAATTGGAATTCCCATGGGGCTGGGTATTAGGGTGCCATGGGAATGGGAATTGGGGTTCTCGTGGAGACAGGAATTGGGGTGCTGTGGGGGTAGGGGTTGAGGTACCAATGGGGCTGGATACTGGGGTGCCATGGGGATGGGAATTGTGGATCCCATGGGGCTGAATATTAGAATGCCATGGGGATGGGGAATTGGGGTTCTGTGGGCATGGGGATTGGGGTATCCATGGTTCTGGATATTAGGGTGCTCTGGGGATGGAGACTGGCTTTCCCATGGGGCTGAATATTAAGGTCCTATAGGAATAGGAATTGGGGTGCTGTGGAGATGGGATTGGTGCCCATGGGGCTGAATATTGAGTTGCCACGGGGATGGGGATCAGGCACCATGGGGATGGATATTGGGTACCCATGGGGCTGAGCACTGCAGTATGTGGGGAGCTGGGTGTCGGGATGCCTGCTGCATCAGGCATTGGGGATCCCATGGGGGGCCATGGCAGCCCCCAGGTTCTGACAGTGTGGTTCTGCAGCTGGAGGAGACACTGCAGCTGCGCACGGAGAGCCGGCAGGGCAGCCTGCGTGGGGACAGCCTGCGTGGGGACAGCCTGCGTGGGGACAGTCTGCGTGGCACCAGTATCTGTTCTGCTATGGTGAGCTCTGCATTTGGGGTTTGGAACACCCCCAGTGTGTGTCCCTGTGTCAACCCCTTCCTGGTGTGCGCGCCTTGCACACCTGTGCACCACACCCTCGTGCATTGGGGTGTTCAAGAGGGACTGAGTATTGGGGTGTCCGTGGGGTGGGGGATACTATGGGGATAGGGATTGGGGTGTCCCACATGGGGCTACCCATGGGGAGGGTCCTATGGAGGGAAGTCAGGGTGCCCAAATGGGTGGGGATTGGGGTGCCTGTATGGATCAGGATTGGAGTTACTATGGGAATGGGGATTGGGGTGCATGGCATGCTGGGTAGCATGGTGACCATGGGGCTGAGCCTTGGGGTACATGGGGGATTGGGTATCGGGTTGTCTATGGGGAAGGGGATTGGGTTGTCCATATGGATGGGAGTTGGGATGCTCATGGCGTTGAGTGTTGGGGTTACTGTGAGAACTGGGTGCGCCCATGGGGGTGGGTGTTGGGGTGCCCATATGGATGGGGATTGAGATACCCATATGGAAGGGGGTTGGGGCATCCATGGGGCTGGGAGTTGGAGTTGGGGTTAGGGTGCAAGTGGTGACATGGGGTGACACGGGGTGGTCACGTGTCCCTGCAGAGTGAAGAGGCCGAGGGCCGCAGCTACTCCACCCTCTCTACGGTGCGGGAGATCGAGACACAGACCGAGGTCCCCGTGTCCCCACTGCTGTCCCCATCCCTGGAGGGCAAAGAGGTGAAGGAGGAGGAGGAGGACGGTGGGGACAACCCCATCAAGCAGGCAATGACGCACTTTGTGCAGGAGAACGGCATGCTGCAGGCAAGGCCCAGCACTAACGGCATCTACATCAATGGGCGCGGGCACCTGGTGTGAGCGGGGACACGGGGCCGAGGGGGGGGACATCGACAGACCGCCGTCCCCTCCCTGCCACCCCGGCGTGGTGCTGCTGCATTCCATCCCCCAACATCACCCCTGGTGACGGCGTGAGGTTGGGGACGTGCACTGTGTCATGGGGACGGGAGTTCGGTCCCCAAATGCACCACATCTGGGACGTGTGCTGTGCGCTCTGACCTCACGTGTCACCCACCCCTGGTGCTGGCACGCGGTTGGGGACACGCGCCGTGCCACCAGGATGGGACTCCGTCCCCAAATGCCGCCCTTGGTGCTGGTATCACCTCTGGGATACGTGCCGTGCACCAGGACTGTCCCCACAAGGCACCCTCGCTGCTGGCACCGGGCTGGGGACATGCGCAGTGCCACCAGTAATGGACTCTGTCTCCAAATGCCACCTCTGGCTGCTCGGGACAATGTTGGGGACATGCACTGTGCACCAGGACTCTGTCCCCAAAATGCCACCTCTGCTGCATGGCACAGGACTGGGGACATGCGCTGTGCCACCAGGATGGGGTCCTGTCCCCACATGCACTGCATCTGGGACGCATGCTGTGCCGCTAGGACTCTGTCCCCAGATGCCACCTCTGCTGCATGGCACAGGGATGAGGACATGTGCCACGACACCAGGATGGGGTTCTGTCCCCAAATGCCACCTGTGCTGCTGGTGTGAGGTTGGAGATGTACACTTTGCTGGGTTCCTGTCCCCAGGTGCCACCTCTGCTGCTTGGAACAGGGTTGGGGACATGCTCTGTGCCACCAGGATGGGGTCCTGTCCCTAGATGCCACTCTGCTTGGCATGAGGTTGGGGATACATGCTGTGCCACCAGGACTCTGTCCCCAGATGCCACCTCTGCTGCTTGTTGCAGGTTTGGGGACATGTACCGTGCCACCAGGATGGGGTTCTGTCCCCATATGTCACCCCTGCTGCATGGGACAAGGTTGGGGACACGTGCCATGACCTAGGACAGAGCCCTGTCCCCAAATGCCACTTCTGCTGCATAGCACAGAACGGGAGACGTGTGCTGTGCCACCAGGATAGTGCCCCATCCCCAAATACCACCTGTGCTGCTGCCATGCTGGGGACACGGGGACCCCACGAATCCCCCCCCACTGCCACTCCCCCTGGTCACAGCGCGGGGTCCCGACTTGGAACGCGCTTCCCCGTGGGGCGCTGCTGTTGTCCCCCCCATCCTGGGGGTCCATGCTGTAGATAGTGCTGCTGTACATAGGTGTATAGGACGGGGGTGTCATTCCCCCCCCCTTCCCTCCCCCATCACCGTTTCGGATCTGCGCTGCTCAGCTGTAAATAAACACCCTGGGAGCGGCGTGCACGGCTCTGTTGGTGCACATGCGTGTACAAGCACTTCTGGGAGTACAGTGGGTGAGCACGTGCAAAAGTAAAGAACAATGTGTGAGAGTGTACAAATGTGTGTGTGTGTGAGATTGCACAGCTGTGTGAGCATGCATGAAGATGCATGAGTGTGCAGTGATGCATGAGGGAGAGTGAGTGTGCATGGGGGTGTGCAACCGTGCACAGCTGTGGGTGCGGAGTGATGCACAAGGATGCACAAGTTTGCATGGCCAGAAACAAGGATGCACAGCCATGAAGATGGATGCATGACCATGCACAACTATGCAGAACCATGGAAATTTTGGATGAATTTACACAACCGTGGAGGATGCATGAGTGTGCACCACTATAGATGTGCAACCATGCACAAGGCTGTACATGTTTGTACAACCATGGATGAGGAAGTGTAATTGTGGCCAAGCACAGACAACAGTGCACAACCATGCACAAGGTTACACAACTGTGGGTAGCCGTGCACCACCATTCACAGTGATGGATGAGTTTGCACCACCACGCACAAGGTCACATGATTTTGCACAACCATTGTAAGGGTGCATGTGGGTGCACCACCATAGATAAGGGTGTGCAACCATGCACAGTCATGCACAGGGATGCAAGAGTTTGCACAACCATAGAAAAGGATGTGTGAGTGTGTAACATGGATTGCAACCCTGCACATGCATGCGCAAGGCCACATGACTTTGCACAAGCATGAACAAGGCTATGCAAGCAAGTACAACCATGGAGAAGGGTGCACAGCCATGCATAAGGATGCACAACCATGCACAACACTGCAGCACCACACCCAAGGCCACAGGGTTTTGCATGAACATGGACACAGACATGCAACCAAGCACAACTATGGAGAAGAGTGCACAACCATGCACAAGGATGCACAGCTATACACAACTATGCAGCGCTATGCCCAAGGCCACATAGCTTTGCACAACCACAAAGGACGCACAATCATGGACAGCAAGGAGAAGGATGCACAACCTTGACCACCGTGTGCAAGGCCGCATGGCTTTGCACAAGCACAAAGAAGGCCATGCAACCAAGCACAGCCATGGAGAAGGATGCACAGCCATGCACAACCATGGAGAAGGATGCACAACTATGCACAACCGTGGAGAGGAATGCACAACCAAGCACAACCATGGAGAAGGATGCACAGCCATGCACAACCATGCACAGGGATGCACAGCCATGCACAACCATGGAGAAAGATGCACAGCCATGCACAGGGATGCACAACCACACACAATCATGCACCACCATGCCCAAGGCCGCACGGCTTTGCACAACCACAAAGCAGGACTCCCAACCACAGACAGCAAGGAGAAAGATGCGTGAGTGCACACCCGGCCTGGCCCCCTGTTGCAGGAGGGCTCACAAGTGTGCACAAGGCCGGTGGGGCAGCACGGAAGCAGAGCACACAGCCCTGCCCTGCGGTTTTTCGACGCCGAGGCAGGAAGCCGCCCCGAAGGAAGCGGAGCGCGGGGCCTCGAAGCTGCGTCAGGGCTGTGCACGGGGCTCTGAGCTGCACTTCCTCCCCCCGGAGCAGAGCAGGGGGGTGGGGGGGCCATGGGCAGGAGGAGGTGACCCTCTGGGGGTCCCCGCTGTCCCCATGTCGTTGGCACTCAAAGCACGGCAGAAGGCGAAGCGCAAAGGCGGCGGCGCCAAGGAGAAGGTGTTCGGCTGCGACCTCCTGGAGCACCTGCAGCAGTCGGGGAAGGACGGTGATTTTTTGGGGAGAGGGGAGGTCCTGGGGGAAGCATGGGGGGTTCATAACGGGGGGTCGTCCCCAGGATCGGTCCCCGTGGAGGAAGTGGGGAGGGGATGTGGGGACGGCGCCATGCGGTTGCATCACAGCGTTGAGTAATGGTTGGGGAGCGGCCCAGGGAGGAACCCGGAACACTGGGGGTCTCCTCCATCAGATGGAGGGAATCCTGGCACCTCACAACTGCCCCACAGCTCCAGGGGGGTCAGGAGGGGACTGGTGGCCTCATCCTGCGATTTGGTGGCCTCATCTGTAGGATCTGAATGGCCTCATCCTGAGATTCAGTGGTCTCATCCATGGGACCTTGCTGGCCTCATCCTGGGATTCGGTGTCCTCATTCTTGGGGATATGGTGGCCCTGTCCTGAGATTTGGTGGCCTCATCCTCAGAATCCTGGTGACCCCATCCGCGGGATCTCCATGGCCTCATCCTAAGATTTGGTGTCCTCATCCTCAGATTTGGTGACCTTATCCTCAGGATCTTGGCCTCACCCAAGGGATCTTTGTTGCCTCCTCCATAGGATCTTGGTGGTATTATCCTGGGATTTGGTAGTCTCATTCTAGGGAATTTGTTGGCCTCATCCTCAGGATCTTGGCCTCATCCTTAAGGTCTTGGTGGCCTCATTCTTGGGGTCTTCGTGGCCTCATCCATAGGGTCTTCGTGGCCTCATCCTGGGATTTGGTGGCCTTATCCTTAGGATCTCAGTGACTTCATTTTTGGGAATTCGGTGGCCTCATCCTCAGGATCCTGGTGGCTACATCCATGGGATCATGGATGGTGGCCTCATCTCTAGGATTTGGTGACCTCATCCCCAGGTCCCATTGGTCTCCATCCAGGCCCCACAGGGATGTCAGCATAGTGAGGACCTGGTCTGTCTTGTCACCCCCTGCTCTCAGTCGGGAGCAGGTCTGGGGTGTGGAGGAGAGGATTTGGGGTTGGGGAGGCAGTTTTGGGGCTGGGAGGGTTTAAATTTGGGTCTGGAGGGGTAGATTAGGGGCTGGGAGCTCTGCGGGGCCGCGGTGCCACCGGTGCCTGTCCTGCAGTGCCGCAGGTGCTGCGGAGCTGCACTGAGTTCGTGGAGCAGCACGGGGTGGTGGATGGCATCTACCGGCTGTCAGGGGTCTCCTCCAACATCCAGAGGCTGCGGTGAGAGGGGATGGGGATGGGGGTGGGGGACTGAAGGGAACTGGGATGCAGGTGGGGTAGGGTGGGATGGGGTGGGGATGGAGGTGGGACAGATGGGGTGGAGATAGAAATGGGAGAAGGATGAAAGTGAAAATAGGTGAGATGGATTTGGAGGTGGGGAGATGGGACTGGGACCAGATGGGAAGAAGATACAGATGAATGGAAATAGGACCAGGTGGGATGGAGATAGAAGTGGGAGAAGGATGGAGAGGTGAATGGATGGGATGGATTTGGAGATGGAGGGGAAATGGGGGTGGTAGCAGGAAGGAGGGAGATTCAGATGAGATGGAGATGGGAGTGGGAGAAGGATGGAGATAGGGACAGATGGAGTGGATTTGGAGAGATCTGGAAACAGTGGGAGGTGAGATTGAGACCAGAAGGGAAGAGGATGTAGATGGGATGGAGATAGGACCAGGTGGGATGGGGATATCCATGGGACCTTGGGAGAAGGGTGGAGGTGGGAATGGATGGGATGGAGATGGGATGGGAGAAGGATGGAGACAGGGATGGATGGGGTGGATTTGGAGATGGGGGGAAAATGGAATTGGGACTGGAAGGGAGGGAGATTCAGTTGGGATGGAGATAGAGCCAGGTGGGATGGAGATGGGATGGAGATGGGATGAGAAAGGGACAGGGAGGGGGACAACCAGGAGCTGCCCCTGGTGCAGCAGTGCTCCCACTCCCCCAGCCTTTCCTTCCCGCCCTCCCCTGCTCACCTTCACTCTTTCATTGTGTACCTCTATCCCCAGTGTTCCCATGTCCCTATATCCCTGGCATTCCAGATGTCCTCATGTCACTGTATCCCTAGCATCCTCACTGTCACCAGTGTCCCCATGTCCCTCTATCTCCAGTGTCCCCAGGTCCCTGCATCCCTGGTTCCCAGTTGTCCCCTATGTTCCTGTGTCCCACTGTCCTTTCATCCCCACCATCTGCATTATCCCCTGTGTCCCCCATGTCCCTATATTTCTGGCATCCCCAATGTTCCCAGTGTTCCCAGTATCCCCAGTGTCCCCACGTCCCTCTATCCTCAACATGCCAATTGTCCCATGCCCCTCTATCCCTGACTTCCCCACTGTCCTGTGTCCCCATGTCCCTCTTTCCCCAACCCCCAATTGTCCCCACATCCCTGATCCCCACATCCCTGATCCCCACATCCATCTCTGTATCCGCACCACCCCGAGGCACAGTGCCAGCACTGTCCCCCCCTTTGACCCCATGTCTCCCACCATCCAGCCAAGAGTTTGATGGGGAGCGCAGCCCGGACCTGCAGAAGGATGTGTACCTGCAGGACATCCACTGTGTCAGCTCGCTCTGCAAGGCGTACTTCCGAGAGCTGCCCAACCCGCTGCTCACCTACCGCCTCTACGACCGCTTCGCCGTGAGCCCCACTGGGTCACCTCCTGTCCCCTGGGGGAACACCGTGGGGGGAGAGGGGCATGGAGACACTGAGGGCAGTGATGGAGAGAGGAGGACATGGGGACACTGGGGACACTGCTGGGGAGAGGGGGACATGGGGACACTGTGGGTGCTGATGGAGAGAGGGGGACATGGGGATGCTGGGGATGTGACATGGAAACACTGCTAGGGAGAGGTGCGTGGCGTCCCCCAGGGATCTGTCTTGGGACCGGTGCTCTTTAACGTCTTTATCAATGACATCGATGACGGAATCGAGTGCACCCTCAGCAAGTTTGCTGATGACACCAAGCTGAGTGGTGTGGTCGACATGGTGGAAGGATGGAATGCCATTCAGAGGGACCTTGAGAGGCTGGAAAGGTGGGCCTAGGTGAACCTGATGAGGTTCAACACGGCA